AGTTATGTGATACATTACGTAATGAAGGGAGTAAATCATTTAATCTGTGATTGGAATTTTTAAATTTTTTGAAGCATTCCCTGCACAGTCGGGTTCTGTCCTCCAACAGGAATACTTAGAATCAAACGTGCCTCATCATAAGTACACCATGGGAGAATGATCTGAAATGCCGTTTCTGTATGTGTTCAACTGATGTAATTTGTTCGCGGGTCAAATTCGTAGCCCACAATGGCTCAGCATACCCAACTGCTGGCCGTAAAATACTACAATAAAAATGAACTACAGTACTGTAATTCACTAACACCACGTTGGCATTATAAGATTTTAAAGATTGACGGAAATGATAGGCCTGCGCCTACATTGTCGGAAATTCCGGGAGATTTTCCAACTTAAATCCACCAGGGTATTACTCGCTCTGTGTGTCTTGGAAGAAAAACTTGGCTTTGTGACCCATGATGTCTGCACGGTCTGATTTTCCTTAGAACTTGCAATGATCTCTACAAATACCTGCAAAAAAACATTTATTACCTTTATTTTATTTTTTGCTGGATTTTGCTATAGACTACACGCGCTCTTTTTACTCGTGTGGACATCAGCCGGGAAAAACCCCCTCCCCCCTCGTCTGCAAATCTTTGCGTCTCGTGTTGATGAACTTTGGTCAGATTAACTCATATTCATCTGCAGAAGTATATCGTCTAGTAGATTTTTGTTATAGAATGTGGATGTAATGACATTTTAGTATTTTTTTTCTCCTTTAACACAAATTAACAAACGAAGACACGATCAGCGTCTTGAGACGGAAGACCAAATACCCAACTAAAATATAGGCCTACAAGTAACGACTGGGATTTTATCTAGATCATATCAACGGATGTTTAAACTAAGCCTATAAGAAAGTTGTTCTAAAAATGTCGGTGTACAGAATAATATGAAAATTAGACTTACAATGTATGTGAAAACAAAACAGGGCTTCTTCTCATTGCCATAATGTGATGTTCAAAATTAAAGTAAAAAGAGAATAATTAACAAAGTAATAAAGTAAAAAATACGTGACAAACAAAAAATCATGAAGAGGATTATGAAGTAAAAGAAAACATGGAAACCAACTTAACGTCAGTGAGACTCCAACGTGGGCTGTAATGGGTAGTATCGGGAATAATGTGGAGAGTTCTGCCCATCGCACATAGCCCGACCCCGCGCATTTCAGTTCATCTTGCGCAATTTCATAGGTTGAGGGTGAAAATGGTTTATACATATCACGGTAATGTTGTGTTGCATAGCTGCCGCTAGTTTGAAAAACTTATGAAAACGCAAAAAATTAATTACCAGATTATTAATATTTCAAATAATGTAGAATTACGTCATTTGTTAATATGCACATTATTGAAGAAGATCCAAGCATGGAAATGAAACTGGCAGACAGAAAACCATGTGCAAAAACATAGGGAAAGGCGATTTTAAGAAAAAGAAAAAACAAATCAAAACAAAAACATGGCTTTTCCACGGTTGAGCGGGAGAGCCATTAATTATAATTATATGATAAATCGAAATTCTACAAGAAAAATTATAAAACTTCAAGCTCTTTTATTCTACAAGGAATAACAATAAATAACATGCAATGATGCAATGAGCAAGTTTACCGTGAGTTCGTTTGAATAAATGAAAAAATTAGTCAAAACTAAATTATACCGTATTTCACAAGTCCTTAAAATAGACGATTTTATTCAGCAACAGAGGCTCTATTTATTGACCAATGGCAATCGTTGTAATAGATGAGTACATATAACTGACTTCATTTCAGGAGGCAGACGATTGCTGTTTGTCATTGCTTGAAGATCGTTAGGACAAATTTAAGGTAAGAACAACCTTTTATATTTATTATTGGTAGAGAAATCGAAAATGGTTATGAAACATGAATGATAGACACCACATTTAAACGGAGGATGGTTTATTCGTTGAAAATATCATTTAATCATCAAAAAAAAAAAAATCTTTGATAGAATTGTAGTTCCGCGATAGTGTTCTGCTAGTCATACCTTATTTTGTTAAGGCTGAAAAATCTAGTCAACAATCTAAAATGTCATGAAGAAACTCAATTTTTCCTTAAATGTTGATACATGTCCTTTCAAAAATTAGCTTCTACATGTTAAATAACTGATGATAGTCCCACTTGGGCCAGCAAATTCTCCGTCAGATTTTTTTCGTCATGTGCTGCGCTGTATAAACAGTAGATTATTTCTAGGTTGTTAGCTTGCTGAGATAGTACAATAGGCCTATGTGAAAGTTATTGAATACGGAACCACACTCCGGGAACATTTGTGTAAATGATATATGGTAGCCCTCAAAAGTTAACCATTTAAATCGAAAAGTATTAGGAATCTTTCAAATATATCACGAAAGTTTGAACACATACCGGTAGGATTACTCTATATAACCCTATATAAATATAATTATGTGTTAATAAATTTTTTGACAATTATAAATTGTGGTGGGTGTGGTAGCGTAAAAAGAGAATGTGTCCACTTTTATTTCAATTCATTTTAAAATTTACTTTGCATGGAGAGATTTAACCAACCGGGTTGGAATTTCCAAATAATGAACAGAATTCTTTCGTTTTTTTTATATTTAGAATACGAATGAATCCGTCTTTGACATCATGTACACTCTTAATTGGTTTGATCAGTCTATTAACTTGCCTACCAGAAAGCTTGTCTACGACTACAACACCAGAAAAAACCGTCTATGAAACTTGTAATATGTGCTGCCACGGGCCGCCTGGGCAACCTGGGATTCCTGGAGTTCCAGGAATATCTGGAGGGTTGGGTCCAGCTGGACCATCTGGTAGTAAGGGTGACAGAGGTGAGTTTGTCCGAGGTGAAAATGGAGATGGAGGCAAAAAAGGAGAACCGGGAAATGAAGGTTCAAAAGGTAAAAAAGGAAACGAAGGATCTCCAGGTAAACAAGGCCCGCTTGGACAAATAGGACCACAAGGACTACAAGGGAACAATGGATCAAAAGGAGAAAAGGGCGAATCACCGGAAGTCCGTAAATCTGCGTTTACTGCAGTACGCACCTCTTCCGTACCCACTTCAGAATCGATCATTCTATTCACGTCAATGGAGATTAATGTCGGAGAAGACTTCGATAAGAATACCGGAAAGTTTACATGTAGAATTTCAGGTTTCTATTACTTCATGTTTAGTTTTTTGTCGCAAGGTGGTATTGCTCCGTATGTTAAAATGAAGTTAAATGGGCGAGCAATCACAACCGTGCATCGTAGTACCGCTGGTGGCAGTGATCAGTTGAGTTCTGGAGCAACAGTTCAACTGAATGTCGGCGATGAAGTCTGGCTGACGAACGAAGGTAGACAGGTCTATGGTCATCCAACCCACCCTCTTACCTTTACTGGGTTTATGGTATACGATATGAACTAACAAAGGATG